TTACGTCATTTCTTGTTTTTACCTTCATCCTTGCTTCTTTACTACGGCTACCTAAGAAATCAATCCTTGCTGTTACAGTGCTTTCATCAGCAAGAAATTCAAGTATAGCTATTGCTGTTATTGAGAATTTACCAGACAGTGTTGGGGACAAAGATCTAATGTTTTTCCCCATAATATTTGTCTATTTGGCTATGGTTGTTATTATCAATAGTTTTGGTTGTTTTATGACAATCAAGGAAGAGGAAAATGACATTGAACAAGTTATGGACACCCTTGAAGACAGAGTTGATAGTGCGGACAAACTTACTTTAGCTATTAATCCCTTGGAGCGACTACATGATATACCAAATACAAATGACTGCGTTATGTTGCCAATAGTACAGTGGTGTACGGCTGTATGAGGTTACTCCAAGGTTCCAGCACTATCCCCATGCTCTTAAAGCTCCCACACTCTCACCATGCTCTCAAAGCTCACACACCATCACTATGCTCCAAGGCTTCCACACTCTCACCATGCTTCAAGACTCCCACTCTAACGGCGCCATGCTCCAAGGCTCCCACAACATCACCATCACCATGTTGCAAGGTGATAAAAACATTACCTATTCGCGTGAGAATCTTCGATATTTGTCAAGAGCACTTGACAGGTTTTGATCTGATTTTAATCTGTTGAACAACCAGATTCAAGCTTTGAAACCACCAAATGATCATAAATGTACGATGGCCGAGGAGGGCCACTTCTGACTTCCGACTTCCGACTTCTGACTTCTGAGTTCCGACTTCTGACTTCCGACTTCCGACTTCTGACTTCTGAGTTCCGACTTCTGACTTCTGACTTCTGAGTTCCGACTTCTGACTTCTTATGCCTTTCCAGCTAAACACGGCAGATCCCAACCGATTGCTTCGATTCTGCATTAATTTTGCTTATAACGTCTAAATATACCATAATTTTCTTATCCAGAATTTCCGAATTCATTATTTTATTTCATTTTTCAATATTATGTTGCCGTGTTTCCAACAGTATTTTCATTCTTTGGTAGCAATACTTATTTTTGATATCGTTATTTTTGATAATTTAGTATAAAAAAGACTATGTTCAACGAGATATTCTCTACACCAATTGCGATTTCACTGTCTCAACGGTTTAAATTTAGCTGTAGGGAACAATTAAATTGCATAATTAAAACTAAAATTTAACATTTACATAACTTATTTCTAAAATTTAGCTCAAGTACTTTCCAAAAGTCCCGAATTCCGACAGGCTGACTTCTATACGATGGCCGAGGAGGGCCACATGGCCGAGGAGCCCCACTTCTGACTTCCGAGTTCCGACTTCCGACTTCTGAGTTCCGACTTCTGACTTCCGACTTCTGACTTCTGACTTCCGACTTCTGACTTCCGAGTTCCGACTTCTGAGTTCCGACTTCTGACTTCCGACTTCCGACTTCTGACTTCCGACTTCTGAGTTCCGACTTCCGACTTCCGACTTCTGACTTCTGACTTCCGACTTCCGACTTCTGACTTCTGAGTTCCGACTTCTGACTTCTGACTTCCGACTTCTGACTTCTGACTTCCGACTTCCGACTTCTGACTTCTGAGTTCCGACTTCCGACTTCTGACTTCTGAGTTCCGACTTCTGACTTCCGACTTCCGACTTCTGACTTCCGACTTCCGACTTCTGAGTTCCGACTTCCGACTTCCGACTTCTGACTTCTGACTTCCGACTTCTGAGTTCCGACTTCCGACTTCTGACTTCTGACTTCCGACTTCCGACTTCTGACTTCCGACTTCTGAGTTCGGACTTCTTTTACTCCATTATTTTGAACTCACATAACTCGAACTCGTTGCTTTTTCGAAGTAATTATTTTTTCCTTTGAGACTTGACTCATGAAACTTAGCCAACTAACTTAAGTTTGAAATGGCGGGGTAAGCGGGCTTCTACTGTGGTGGATAATGAAAATTTTGTCAATTGACAATATCAATTTGATAAATTCAGATATGTGAGGTTAATGTTATCGCCAAAATATATAAATTTCTTATCCATATGATTATATTGGTGATTGTTTTTTTCTGGATGATATTTTGTAAAGTTCTTGAGCTAAGTTTTGGAAAAAGTGATGTAAATGTTAAATTAAATTTTAATTTATTTTTAAATGTCCCCTACGGCTAAATTTGATAAAGAACATCCCGTTGAACATACATCGTTTTTTTTCTACTAAAATACATACGATATCAAAAATAAGTATTGCTAACAAAGAATGATAATACTGTTGGAAACACGGCAACATAAAATTGAAAAAATGAAATAAAATAACGAATTCGGAAATTCTGGATAAGAAAATTATGATATATTTAGACGTTATCAGCAAAATTAATGCAGAATCGAAGCAATCGGTTTGGATTTGCCGTGTTTAGCTGGAAAGGCATAAGAAGTCAGAAGTCGGAACTCAGAAGTGAGAAGTCGGAAGTCAGAAGTCGGAAGTCAGAAGTCGGAACTCAGAAGTCAGAAGTCGGAAGTCGGAAGTCAGAAGTCAGAAGTCGGAACTCGGAAGTCAGAAATGGCCCTCCTCGGCCATCGTATAAATGATCATCAAAAACATTGAACTTTCTCGGTAGAAACATTGAACTTTGTCATGAGAATAGACAATACTTTACTGCGATCGTTCATCCTTAGTGCATTCAGTAAATGAGTCCGCCTTTTACAAATCGCAGCCCGCGATTGTAAAACACGGACTCAGTCCGCGTTTTACAAATCTTAGTTCGCGATTTGTAAAACACGGACTCAGTCCGTGTTTTCCCGGTCCAGTCCAGTCGAGTCCGTGTTTTACAAATTCAGTCCGAGATTTATAAAACACGGACTCAGTCCGCATTTTCCCGGTCCAGTCCAGTCCGGTCCAGTCCAGTCCAGTCCGTCTTTTACAACATGCCTGACTAGAGGCATCATTGTATTGTTGGTTAATTCGAAAATAATACTAATAACTAGAAAATACATGCCGGCATGCAGAAACCCTCGCCTTGCTGACAAAACCATTTTATTTTCCGAACGTGAAGTATTTTAAGTAGTTGTCATGGTAACACGATAATTTTTAAGACTATTTTTACAAATGAAAAATCCCCTATAAATATCACTTTTAATTACAAAATTATCAATTTCCTAAACATATATATGTTAGGTATGTTATTATACGTAATATAAGCTTGAATTTAAGGTAAAATTCGACCACAAACGCTTCGCAAAACGTTTTAAAATGTTCTTTTACTATAGAACTAAACTGCCTTTATCGATAAACTCAGTTGAGTTCGAAATAAAATGATTCCAAATTCTCCCATGCAAATAACTTTGCTTAGTATAATAAAAAGTGTAATCAATAAAGAAACACTGAAATAATACGCTGTCTTGTTTCATATTTATACACAACGATCGGCTTTTAAAGTAATTACAGTAGGTATGTTATTATACGTAATATATAAAGCTTCAATTTAAGGTAAAATTCAACCACAAACGCTTCGCAAAACGTTTGAAAGTGTTCTTTTACTATATAGAACTAAACTGCCTTTATCGATAAACTCTGAGTTCGAAATAAAATGATTCCAAATTCTCCCATGTAAATAACTTTGCTTAGTATAATAAAAAGTGTAATCAATAAAGTTATAAAGAAACACTGAAATAATACGCTGTCTTGTTTGATATTTTATATACGCAACGAGATATACTATTGCCAGTGTGACCAGACTTTCTCAGCGGCTATTACCAAACGTTGTGCTGAAATTTTACCAAATTGGATTTTGTTTTACCAAACACGCGCAAATTCCGCGTTTTGAAATTTCTGGCTGCGTGCAGTCATTGTAGTCACGTGTTACACCCTTTTTGGCCTTTTTCATGGCGACAGCATAACGAAACCGTCAAAATGTAAACATAATTTCAAACACCTTTCTGGATATGAAAGCTAGCAATATAAATGATATACAGGGTCTGAAATTTATATTTTTTCTCGGTATCCAACTGGGATACCAGGCCTGGATTCAAAGTTTAGTATCCCCTCTGAGAATCCAGTATCCCACTTCTGGATACTGGTTACCGGTACCATAAGTATTATACCCTGTCCCATCCAAGGTTTCCATAACTCTCGCTATTATTACAAATTGCAATAACAACAGGAGACTCAACAGTCAACAACGAAATAATTCATTAATACACTAAAATGCACATAATCCTTCAACAAACTTCTATATGCTAGCCCTCAATGAGGAAAGAATAGTATTGCCACGATACAGCAGTTCTTTAGCGTAGTTATATTCCACGTTTTTTTGGTTTTAAGAAGTCTATTAAACAAGAGACATTATTTTTTGAAATTTTACTAAAAAAATGCTAAATTACTTGATTTTTTTGAAATTTTACCAAAACTTTTACCAAAATTTTATTTTACCAAAACTTTCCCAAAAATTACCAAATTTTACCAAAAGTAAATTAATTTACCAAATCTGGTAAATTGCCATTACCCAATGGTTTTGTTTCATAAGACACGTTACGCAGGCTAGCTAAATGTTCTACTACTAGCAAATTACTACAACCTTTCAATAATTACGCTAATCACCTTGTGTAATTTACGGGAGTTAGGTAACATCGAGTTGGATTCGAGTTCGAGTTCGGCTTCGAGTTGGATTTCGAGTTGGACTTCGAGTTAGATATTTTTCTTTACTTTTCGGGAAAATGACAATTGTATTTCACCCAACCTGTTTTGCTGCGGAGCGAGCGAGCCTGAACCAAATTTACACTTATTATATGGGGGAATTTTATCTTAAACCATTGTTTACCGCAGCTGTAGGCCTTGTGGTCGTGCGCGATCGGAAATGCTCAGTAACCTTTTTGTCGGTTGTGCTTCCACAACACCTTGTGGTAATTTTGAGTTGCAGATTTCCTACAAGTTACAGATATTGCACAGCACACTCCCTACCTCCTCCGCAAGCCATACAGCCCGTAATGAGTATGCCCGTTCGCATGTTGAAATTTGAACAAGAAGGCTGCGGAGGAGGTAGGCACACTCCCTATATCAGGGTTTTCAGTGACTGGTTATATTAGGACCGGAACTGGCGTGAAGCAGACCGAGGTAGATTGTGAGCTTACAGATGGCGCTTTAAGCAGCCGCTATTAGTCCGTACCTCATTAATGATCTGCCCCCTGACCTGACATGGTTTCCGCACAATTTTTAAATGTTATAACAAATCTTTTTACTGAGATACCTTTTTCATATCATGTACTTCATTGTTTGTATTCTTAATTCGACACAAAAGCACTCGTACCCTAATTTATTTTATAGTAGACAGTGCCGGACACCAAAAAATACACAGTGAGATATTTTCCATAACTAGATCTTCACTAATGAAGATATCGATTAAGTGTTCATTTTCTTTGTTATTTTTACTGGCTATATAATAAAAAGAACATTAAATACACGGTGGCTTGAAGTTTCATATCTTATTATTTATCTTCTCGTGGTGAAAACTGAAAACAATATTTTTTACTCACTCAAAAATTAAAATTTATATCTTCCCACCGCCGTTAGTCTGCGATAGCAGACTGACTCAGAAGCCCCCCCCCCCGGCCCCCCTCCCCCACTGGAGCTGCGGAGAAACAGCAGACTAATATCAGAGGCAGAGTGTAAGAAGGGCTCTGGGTACGAGAATGAGGCAGTGCTGATCAGTCTGCTATCGCATACTACACCCTGTCTCCGTACCCAGGCGTTTCTTTGTAAAAAAAGTACACCGCCGTCTAACATCCTCTATATAGTACTCTACTTGACCTTTCAAGACTAATAATGCAACATATCCTCACACGTAGTATTAGGGAGGCTGGACGCGCAGGGGCGGGAATATTAAAAAAAGGTAATCATTTTTAGATTGGGATTAGATTAGAGCCAGATTAAGATTAAACCAGGGTTAGGGTTAGAGGTTAGAGTGGGGGTTGGGTGGGGGTTAGGGTTCAACTTAATATAAGGCATTTCCTTAATCTTTAGCAAATTTGACAATTAAGGATAATCCCTAATACCACGTGTGAGGATATTCAGAATAGTACTGATAGTTTCGAATACATATTTTGAACGAAACAATGCACGCTTAAAATGTACAAATTTTAATATATTCTTTTCCAAAATATACATAGTAATTACTGTTTATTAAGATGTACAACAAAGTTCATTATAAAAACCGGATTTATAATAAAGTAAATTTACATTGCTACGTTTCATTCTCCATATTTATAAACGTAATAACACGTGTTTGAAGTTGCGAAGAAGCAAACATGAATCGGAGTTGTTCGGAAATTACCAGAACATTCGGAAACGCCAGTGTATAAGTAACTCCAACTCGAATCCAACTCGATGTTTCGGGATTCCCATGTATACTATAAACACGAGTTTCGAAGAAGTAAACAAGAATCGGAGTTGTTCGGAAATTACCGGAACATTCGGAAATGCCGGTATATAAATAACTCGAAGTCTAACTCGAAGTCCAACTCGAACTCGAACTCGAATCCAACTCGATGTTTCGGGATTCCCGTAATTTACCAATGAGAGCGAGGTTCCAAGACTAAAAAGTATGTGTAATTATCGAAAGGGTGTATTTGGTAATACAGTTAGCCAGCGTGGCCGGCTCTTCTATAATACAGTTTGGTGATATTGGCGTCTATATTACAGGAAAATAAGGCAGGGAGAATTATCTTACTCTTTGACGAATGCTAAGCGGCAATGAGCGGCAACAAGTATCTGTTTTGTAAAGAGCGAGAGACTGCTAGTGATGGGCAATACTAACTGTTTTAGTTCGATAAAATACTGACTGGATATTTTCCTTTTTTGCGGGATATCGCTATTTGTGCAATATTGACTATTGTTTCATTCACTGTATTCCGACGCTAATGGCCGTTTCTTACAGTTAGGGGCCGATTACATGGAGCATTTTCAACCCCGGGGTAGCCTGCATGGCAGGCGGTTCCTAAAAGTGGGCAAACCCCGGGGTTGAACTCAGCCCTGTTTACCGGGTTGAAATTTCAGTCCTGTCTGTAATACAAAACTCTATCAAAATCAAACGCGCGATTACATGACAAAATTTTCAACCCAGGGCTGAGTTCAACCCTGGGGTTGAAATTTCAACCCTGCTTCAGCTAGCAGGGTTGAAATTTCAACCCCGGGGTTGAACTCAGCCCTGGGTTGAAAATTTTGTCATCGTTCTTTAAGGTACGTTTACACGCTGCGATTTGTCGGGCCGATTTTGCGCGCTGTATGTAAATAACCTGTCGTGAGTACTCGCGTCAGCACCTTGCGATTCACAAAATCGGGAGAAAAATCTGTAACACTAACACAGATTTTTCTCACGATTCAACGATTTTTCTTCCGTTGTAAAGTTGTTGAAAACATTTCGCACGCAGAAAACTATAATATGAACAGACGAGAGAGCGGCAGCTTCAATTGAACGTTTAAATCGCTAAATGTCGAAGAAGGGGCATCGATTATTTACCAAAATCGGCCCGACAAATCGCAGCGTGTAAACGTAGCTTTAGACGTTCAGTTGTTTCATCGAATCTGGCGGGAAAAGGCGGGAAATTGATTTGGTAAACAAGTTCTCTCACTTCCCATTTGCCAAACATTCCTTAGGTTATCGATAAACAATTCCTCAGATTCAGTTAAATTTCCTTAAACATTTCGCATTGTTGGTTAACGAATAGTCTAAATTTAAGGAAAGTTCCTTAAAAATGAGAACGCTATTGGTAAATTTTCATCCATCAAAATCACTTGACGTCATTTTTGGCTCGAGTCCTGAATCGAATCCTGACTCGAGTCCTGGCTCGAATCCTGACTCGATATTTAGGTACCCTCATACGCAACGATCGGCTTTTAAAGTAATTACAGCCGAGATTACAGTATATTAAAAGCAAACAATGCATCAATATTTAAAACAAACTTACCTTCGTTAACCGACGTCGGCACCTTTACTTCCTTCTTTTAGCAATCCTCTTGCCTTTATTTCATCAAAAATCCTTTGCAATTTACAAAATCTTGCAAAAATGTAATATATTTGCAAGAAATCATCAAATCAATTTCGCTGTCGTCAATCGTCATGCAGCCGTTATAATGCCAATTAGGGTTAACTTAATGTTTAAGTTCCCTGTTTAAGAAATAGAAAACATACGAATCTTCTCATTTTACGGGAACCACCTGAGACTGCAATTACGGCTTCAATTTTTGAATTTCAGAATAATTAGATGCTCTATCTAGTGTTTATAATATAGCATTTGTAAATTCTGAACGCTGATTGGCTAAGAGCCGTGTTGATATAACTCCATGTCAACACGGGAAATTTTCCGCCGCTTGTAACACGGAAATTGTTCTTATTCTTCGGGCTTTTGACATTGCTATATTATAAAACAAATATAAAATTTTTTTCCGTATTGATATATAGTTATATCAACACTCGTGGAAGTTGGGAAAACTCGAAATTGTGTGAAAACACTCCGCCCTTCGGGCGTCGTGTTTCCACACAATTTCTCGTTTTCCCAATTTCCACTCGTGTTGATATAACTGTATATCAACACGGAAAATGTTTTATATTTGTTAAATATAAGATATCTATGGTTTTAACACATGCCCGTTAGAATAATTAAGTTTTCCAACAATTAAGTTTAAAGGGGAAGTCAAGTCCGTTCTGCGCATCGGTTCTGCGCATAACAATAGAGGGCCCTCTGAGGTAAACATTGCCCAAATTCTGAATGTTTCGAATTTTTCTGAACACAAACTCTATTTCATATTCATGTAGAAGCATAACGAACCAAAATGGTGTTAGATATTCAGACAGTACATCATATTTTAAAAAATACAGCAGTTCAAAATGTAAACAAACCGTTTGTTTACATTACGGACTTGACTTCCCCTTTAACAAAAGGATCTTAACGCATTCACAATATTTTAGAAATAGTTTGCTATCAATACAAATAATATATTATTATCATTCATAATCTAAAGTCCGGATCAAACGGATGAGAGTGCACGAGAGCTTGCAGTCACGCGACCTTGGTTAGCGCCTTTTAATGCTTTCCCAACACTATCGTGTATTCTGTTTAGGTTGAAACATTGTGGGAACACTCGTCAAACCTTCATTTTGTTAGTCTAGAGCTTGAAATTCCCCCCGTATCACTAATACGTGACTGCAAACTCTCATCAACGTTTATCATTTAGCGACCGGGGCTTTAACTGTATCAAAGGAAAACAAGTATAATGATGGGAAGCAAAAGTCCTGCGTGGGTGCTGGGCGCAGTTATCACGTTCAGTAATGCAAAGACCGCAAAATACGAAATTGCCAGTGGACGTTTTTGTCTTAAGGAGCTTATATAATTATTCGGAAGATTACAGAAGATATTAAAGAATATTATACCTCACAATGAGCTTGTCCAATCAGAGAACTAAATTTGTACCACATGACCATGGTATTTTTCAGCGAATACTATAACCTAGGCAATTTGAACCCTGGGTGTTTTACCCGGGGCCATGGTATTCGACTTCGAATACCACGCTTGAGCGGGAAATTCGACTTTTTTAAATGTAAAGTTATCAAAAGTTGTGTTTTGAAATTAAAAGTTAATTGAATGGTATTTGTTTTCTATTTATTTTTGAAAGGTTCGGTATAATATACCATTTATAGACCTTTCACTCGGGGTATTCCACAAAAAATTACCCTGCGGGATGAAATATTCCTCGGGCTTCGCCCTCGGAATATTTCATCCCGCAGGGTAATTTTCGCCCTCGGAATATTTCATCCCGCAGGGTAATTTTTTGTGGAATACCCCTCGTTTCAGGTCTATAACTGATAAATATAATTATTATATCAGATTTTAATTAGACATTATAAGCAGTTTGTTCAATTGTAGGCGCCCACAGACTGATATGTCTGAGATTGCGCGTAACGTACGAATGTACAATGTATATAAGTTTAATAATTTAATTATAATATAACATTGATACTGTGGTAGAGTTGATTGGTCGAGAACGACGAGAGCGTGTTTCTAGTGCGATTTCCTTCTTATGATGCATGTGAATGAGTGATGAGTTATGAATGTTTTTAATACATGTGTAAGCGCGGAACATGGACCTTATGATTGCATGGGAATTTTCCCGTCTCGCAGCTATGATTTTAAAACGTAAACAAAATTATTTCTCGTTCTCCCAAACTCTCCCACGGATAATTGTTCAGAAATTAGCTATTAATAGTTTGACAATTTAGCAGTGAATAGGCATAGGCGTACTGTGAAGTCGAATTCCAGAATGTCGAAAACAAGTCACGTATGAAGCTTCCGCTGTTTTGGCAATATAAATTATAATTCGAACCTAACACTCATTATTTTATTAATATGCGCATATCTATCAATGATCACGTGCAGGCCTTTTATATAGTTCGCTCTTATAAAAATGTGATATCGCCATGCAAGGTATATTTCACTTACTGGGGGCCAAAAGTTAGTGGATCATACTGGGCACTAACCTTACCCGGACCTAAATCTTACTCTGGGGAGCGCACACTGGGCCCTGGTCTTGGTTTTGCCCCTACCCCACCCCCACCCCCACTGTAAAGCGTAAAACAATTAAAATATGTTAAATCTCCATGTTAAATTTCTCTTCAAAACATCAAAATATTCAGTGGTAAATTTAAAGCATGCATCAGCGCTGTGAGCTGCAGCATGTGTAGTCTGGATAGGAAGAAATATGCTACGTCTTCAAAATATATTTCTTCAGATCAAATGTTATAAGAATTCCCCCCCCCCCAGCCCTTCGACATCAAAAAGTTGAAAATAAAAAAAATTAATTATTGGTGAGACAATTAAATCAACATGACAACATCTGGCAAATTTTTGTCCGCCTCCCCAATTTGTTTCCTCCTGTGTGCCTATGACGAGTGGGTAAGGTGCACAGGCGGCCCAATCTCGCAAGGGTCAGTATCATAGATATCTTATATACACTAGATAGTGCATCTAATTATTCTGCAATTCAAAAATTGAAGCTGTGATTGCAGTCTCAGGTCGTTCCCATGAAATGAGGAGATTCGTATGTTTTCTATTTCTTAAACAGGGAACTTAAACATTAAGTTAAACCTATTCCAAATACGTTTTTAAACTATTCAAATGATGAAAGTTATTGTTGTTTTTAAGCGTTTATTAGCGAGTGGGAACGACCAACATGGCCGCCATCTATTCAAATGGGGGTAACCGCTGAAATATTCTTGGCTTCAATTTTACTAAAAGAGATGCGCTATCTAGTGTATATAAGATATCTATGGTCAGTATAGAATTAATGTATAGTATTTATTGCTGCCGAAGGCAGCCTCCTATTCTTGACGATGTGTTATGGCGCATTTGAATTTCCCGCCAACAGTTTTATACACTTGAAGCGTATCTCGATTTTTTCGTGTTTGTCGGCAGTTTGACCACAGAGTAGATAAGACATACAGAGACGTAACTGACCGTTGTAAACACTGCGGAAGATTACGTTATCATGTACCCACTTTTTTCAGGCGACCCCGGGCAAAAAATGATCAACTGCGCGTGCTCAGCAAGTTTAAAGTGAGTCGTCATCAGGTCGTCATCCAATCAGATGCATGCATCTAGTAACTTGCCGAGCGTGCGCACAAAAAAAGTGGGTACACTAGTTACGTCTCTGTATGTCTCTACTCTGTGGTTTGACGTCATATTATGACGTTGCAGAAAGGAATTTACATTGCAGCATTATCATACCCCAGGAGTTTACGATAGCAAATCGATGGGGTCGGCTATTTTGCGAGCTGCGAGTTGCGAGCTGCGAGGTATTAGCTGAGTAGTTTGCAAACTTTAAAAATAATTGTACCTCAAACTTTGACCTCCAAAAGTAAACAAATAGCCAATACTGCAAACATAATCCAAGTTTTGATGACCAAGCGGAATTTTTAAATGTAAAAAAACTTGTTTAAATTACACATTAAACAAAGGCAAAACAAAATTTGGTATTAATTTTTTGGAGCAAAAGTCAAGGTTTTTTGCTGTCCGCCCACGCTTCTAAACCCCCTCTCCCAGGATCTTCTATCTCAAAAAACAGTTTTCTGCACAAACTATGCTTTTTTCTCGGGAAAATGTTTCTTTTTCTTAAAAAAACACTTTATAAACATGGAAACCTCAAATATTTAAATAATTTTCATACCTTTTTGGAATTGCAAAAAGCAAAATCTGATTCATTATCCTACTTTTTAAAATATATATGAGAAAGTTGCTTCGAAATCACTATCACGCAGTAGCATGTTTATTTACCCTCATCATTTTGACTGAGTAGAGTTTATCTTTTTGAAAAGCGATTTTTGTTATAGCTCTTGGTTACTGGTTTACGTTTATGTCGATTTTGGTACCCATGAGACCAACAAGTTGCAGTAATCCTCGAATGAAAATGGATATTCGAAGAGCATAAAAGCCAACTCCTAGCCATGTAACTTTATCGCCTGAATTTTGAATCATTCCACAAACTAAAATGCTGATAATGTAGATGCTTTCCATACTTGAGATGTTAGTGAAGTTTTTCCTACAATTTAATTTCCTTGATCGTCGTCTTAAAAATGCAAAATCATCAGTTGAAATTTCACTCGTCTTGTTTTTTCAAATTTTCGAATTTTTGTAAAATTCAAAATTAAACGAGACTTACCTGTAAGTTGATGTTTGATTTGGATTCTGTGAGTCATTGGTCGGGAGCGAAGGAGTCATGTGATTATATGAGAAAGCGCGCGAACCGGAAGATCAGTTTTTAACCAGATCGTACTCGTACCAATACATGGGTCGGGTTTCAACACAATTGGGTGGGCACATGACTCCTTCGCTCCCGACCAATGACTCACAGAATCCAAATCAAACATCAACTTACAGGTAAGTCTCGTTTAATTTTGAATTCTGTTTCATCATTGGTCATTGGTCGCTACGGAGTCATGTGATTATATGAGATTTTAATGCAGTACGAGTACAATAACCAATACTCAGTTCAATGAAAGCCAATGACAGGCAAATTTTCATTATAACAAAACCCAACCATGAACTGCAATAACACGTCTTACAATATACAATAGGTATATTAAGTCCTATTTTGTAACAACAAGTTGCCATAACTCTCTTTGGCTATTGGTTTTAAATAGTACTTTGCAAAGGTTGATTCCTGAGACCATCCAGCATTTTGCATAATAACGTCAATCGGTATGTTCATAGCTTTGGCTGCTGAAGTAGACGCTGACCGAGTGCTGTGTGCTCCAAACTTGGCAATGTCTATACCGGCCAGTGCTAGAGTGGTTTTTAACCAACGGCTGATGGTGTCGGCGGACACTTCTTTATACGGTTTCTGGACGCTAATAAACAATTTATGCTGATTGCCTCTCAATAGCTCTGTTCGTTTGATGTACTCTGAAATATGTGCAACCGGGCAAAGGTTTCTATCCAATGTGTAAGACTTAAACTCAACAGAAGTCAAATGTTTGCCTGGTCGTGAGGTTTTAAGCAATGACTTTATAACAAATGTACACTTGTTTAAACTTAACTGCATTGTGCTGATATCCAGTGCATGCATTGTTTGCCGACGTTGCCCCGACAACAAGGCGAGTAACATTACAACTTTATAGGTGAGCATTTTAAATGTCTGTTCCTCAGGCGGACCCAAGCCAGATAAGTAGTCCAACACCACATTCACATCCCAAGTCTCCCCATAACGTGGTAGAGATGGTCTTGTCTCGAATACACCCTTCATGAAGCGGCTTACTAGTGGGTGAGTTCCAAATACTTCACTGTCCGATACCATAAGTGTAGTTGATAATGCACTCCTAGCTGTATTTAGAGCACTATACCCAATACCTTCCTTGTAAAGTTCTGCTAGGAAATTTACTCCATCTTCTATAGTTGCTGAAAGTTGATCCATTTTCCTTGAATTACAGTACTGTAGCCATTTATTAATG